TATCAACCTGAATCTCCGGCACCGGCGGCGTCGGGTAGTGATGATCTGGTGCCGGCTGGTGATGATGTACGATCTCCTGGATCTCCTTGGAGATTGGTGGGCTAGCTATGGCGGTGGGGTCAACATTTAGTTTACGGTTTTTGCGGCGCGAGGTTAGACAGAGAGAGAGGAGGAAGAGAGCAAGAACTATAAGAGAACCCAAGAAGATCCCGATAACTACCCAGAGACGGAGACCGAAAATCGATGTGGGCTTCGAGAGCTCCGTGTTCAGAAATGCGGCGTCGTATATTGACATTTCTACCCTCCTTGTCTGGTTCTTATTCCTTAATAGCTTCTTCTTGATTGAACCAGAGAACAGAGAGCAAATGCAAATTCAAACAGTACAGGTTTCGGGTGCTCTTCGCATTTCTTTCGCCCGAAAAATCACAAATTCCCCGCGAACAAATAAATTTAGAACTCTGGGTATGTAGAAAAGAAAAGAAAGAATTGAAAATAATCAAAAGAAAGATGCAGAGAGAGACTACACGGAAGAGAGAATCAAAGAGAGAATAAAATAACTAAATGATATTTAAATGGCAACGGTGTTTCTTCACTTTTAGCAGGGGAGCGTTAATTGAAGAAGAAGAAGAAGAAGAAGAAGAGGGTTGAGTGGGTGTAATATGTAAGTAATAAAATATTCATATATGCAAACTTTCTCCAAGTCTTTTCGGGTCCAAATGAGCTGTCTGTTTTTCTCTGCCTGGCTGGAGTGCGTGGCGCGCGTGCTCGAGCGGCGCGTGGTTGTACAGTGAATTACGTGTATGTCCCCGGGTTTACATATGGGATTTCGGGTTTTGCCCGCTTCAAAGATAGGGAAGGGGGACCCACTGCCAAACAGTGTTAAAGAATGGAAGCGCCGGAGCGGTCATGACCGTTAAGAGGGCAGTTGCTAAGACACGCGCAGGTGCTGCTGGGTCTATGAAATCGGACGATCCACGTGACATTTGATGATCATGATCTAAAGAGGTCCCACCAATAACATGATGGAAAGAATATCCATTGCTTGATCGAGGAACAACATCCTGACCCACAAAGTTCAAAATACTAAAATTTTTAACTAGATTAGAACATCCTACGGTAAAAGTGAGTTTGAGAGTGTGGTGAAATGGTCATATTTGGGTATGGGTTTCAGAAGGAATCTTTCGTGAGAATGCGGCAAAAAGTTGTCTGATTTCTAAAAGGCACCAATGTATGTTACAATAATGGAGAGCTTTATATATAGTCTGGGACTGTAGACAGCATAATGGGTATTACAATATTAATTGGATAATATACTATCCCAATATTAACCACTTAAAAGGAATGGATGAAGCAGAATTTCACCGGAAAGAGACGTCGTTTTGTCATCTGGGTCCATGACAATCGGGCTTTTCTTGAAGCTTTTGGCAACTAGAGATGCATTATTATTATTTTCCTTCTCTTCAATTTTTTTTTTTTTTTTAACTACAAGACAACGCTCTCATTGCTCCTTTCTCTTCTCAAGTGAGACTAATTGTATAATGGGCATAGTGCATGAAAGAAATGTGTCCAGTAGGACGGGCAAATGGGATCTAGATAAGATTGACTGTACATCTTATGTCAAGCTTGCTTCATTCCTTATATAATGATGATCATTTTAACCTTATCCATGACTCATCACCCATTTGAAAACTAACTCATCCACCATATTAAAGAAATAGGTTAAAAAGTCTGTTTAATTTCACAAGGAGATCCATTCAATTATCTTAACCCTAATTAACTCTTGCTGGATCAGTTCACCACTCCTCAACATTGTCGTACATACACGACTTTTCCCTATTCGGTTTCCTTTCCCTCAGCCTCACAGTGATTTTCTTGTAAAGTTCTTTACTATACATTCCATATCTGAACTGGAGAAGAAACATGCGATCCAGGAGTTTCCATACAAACAAAATATTACAGCAATGGACTTTTTACCAGCAAAACGCAGCAAAATAATTCTTAAGTTATGCAGATCAGTCGGCCTTTATACCAGGTTCATCAAGAGCAGCAAGTCTTTCTACAAGTTCCAATCATCAAAATGCCTGATAAGGTAAATTATTTTTTTTAATGACTAACCTTGTTGAATCTCGTTTCTTAAATTATAGTGACATTAGAGTTCTTCTTTTTTATTGACTAACTTGGGCATGAGGAAAAAATAAATTGTAGGTGAATTTGGTGGACTAGATAGAAACGAAGGCTGGAAATCGAAAAATCTGAGGAAGTAGTTGATCCGAAGTTGCCTGAGATGCTTGCTTCAAAGCCACTTAAATGTGTCCTATTGGTTGTTCCACGATGCAACAAAGAGGCTTAAGATGGGATGTGTTATCTACATACTTTAGGCAAATGACCAGTAAATTTAGAACCTAATGATCACTCTTCTAGTACATACTAGAATTGGCATCACACCTGTACATATTTAAAAGTAAATTATCAAATTTATTAAGAAAATGATTTACTGGTCCTAATTTGAGATACTTAAAAGTATATGTCAAAAAGAGATGTAATTATATGTCACATTTGGAGGAAATAATAAAAGTACATGACATTTTTCTAAATTTAACCCAAAACTTTTTTTAGAAAAATGTGAAACCAAATACAATTTTAAACGAAAGCTAAGCTCGTAGTAAGCCTGATGAGGAAGGCTAAAGGCTTGAACCATTGAATCTCAATTTGACCTAACTCATAGATAGTACAGCTGAATATCATTTCTAACAGACAATTGGAACCTATAGAATCTCATAGGAAAGAATTAGATAGAAAAACTAGCGTGTATGTTGCCCTTATATTAGCCAACTAGGTTTAATTTCGTTGACTCTTTTATAGATATGAGATAACAAATCGATTACAGAAATATATCGAATCTTTCTTTTTTAAATACAAATTATGAATCGTATTGATATAGGCACCAACTGCCACCCATGTACAAATTTACAAATCAATTAGAGTATCAACAAGTTCCACTAAATTCTTCATAGAATAAAGATGATGAGTATGTAACAAAAAATCAAGAGTATGAAAGCATCTATTTCTAAAAATTTCTTTTTAAAATAATAAAAAGATTAGTATAACACGAGAACTTTTCAGGAAGTCTCATCATAGTATTACTCTCGCCCAAACACATTTAACTGCAGAATTCTGATGGGATCCGATGCATTGATACTGGTCTGGTCATACATAATCTATTTTTAAAATATTAAAACCATTTACGTCATCAACTCCATCAAAGTCATTCTATTCTCTCCTTCCAAACCACCCAGAGATAGAGAGAGGAATTATTTCCA